GTCAAACCAGAATGGGCCTGAACATAGTATACTATCTCTTCCAGCACAGCCCCCACCCAGTTATCGCTAGTATCCGCCTTATTAATTTTATCAATGAGCACTTTAGCATCCCCTCCAACCTGACATCTGAGAAGCCGAGCTCAAGACACCACACGATCGCCTCCCTGAGCTCAAGACACCACGGTTAGTCAGTATCTTAAAATCGTAAAGTTTACATATTTTTCACCGTTTTAAATTGAGATTTAATGAGATTTTAGGCTCTTAAGATATTTTTAGTAAAATTATTATTGGGCCCATAGATAAGATCATAAAATTGTATGACATTTTTTTTGTCGACATTTGAGCTTGATATTTTGATATGTTTTTAACTTAATTGTTTTAAATTTAGATTGATTTTCGGTAGATGTGTGAGGTGCAAATGTTTGAAAACTGTTGGGAATGGAGATGCGGAACCTTTATCTTGTCAAGAACTAAATAGTTTTAAGATTTTAGAAGAAATTTTAAAATAAATCTTATATAATTTCGTTACAGCCCTTTTGAACGAAACTCACTCATGTCATGAGTTTAAAGTTTGGATGAGTCCACTAAATCATATGTTCAAATTAACTCATAAATATTGCAAGTCATGAAGGTTCAAATTAACTCATAAATATTGCAAGTCATGAAGATTCAAACACTAAAATCTTTTGATCATCACAAACTTTCCAAAGTTAACCATGGTCCATGTACCTTTTTCAAAGTAAAAAAATTAAACAGATTGCATTTTGACATAAAGAAAAGGAAGTTGGGTGTGAAAGGCAGGAATGAAGGGGGACAATTGCGCCCGCCCTTGCCATTTTTCATGATTGGATATCATATCAGCTCTGCGGCTTTAGTCTTTAGACCAACTTGGTCTACACAAAACTTCTTGTCAATTCACTTGATATTATCGTTCACAAACAATTCACTTTTTCACTCTGTCGATTGGGGATCAGTCAAGATCGAGATCTCAATGGACATGGGCTGGCACCCCAATTCTCATCGCTACCACCTAAACCCTAATCTCCATTGAGCAAGCTTGTGCTCAATAGTACACATCCATTTCTTCTTGAGGTACCGTGCGAAATAAGCAATAATAATATATTCAAAAGCATGTTGATGATTACGAGTTTATTTACACTCGGTCACAAGCTTGATTAGAACGCTTGACTACATAGTACATTGTACATACATACACCTCACTAAATGTTGGGGTTTTGCTTCTGTTACGTGAGACAAGATTCGTCGTCATTCAGATAACTCAAATACAAGACCTGAGAGACTCTAAGGACCTAGATATCAATCTAATGGAAATGTAATTGGTGTTAACTAACGATGTTTCTAAACATTACTTTTTTTTAGGTTTTTCAATCCAACTGTGACTTAACTTCATCTTCATTCGGCTAAAGCTCATTCAAACATAAGGTTTTTTTAATTTAAACTAATGTGACGAACCTCATCTTTATTTGGCAATGTTGAAAGTGGTATAAGATGTATTGTAAACCTTCTCCCAGCATCTCGAGTTATTGAGAGCCACTTTGATCGTGAAGTCATGTGTTCAAGTCCTCACGACCCCAATAGTAAAAATTGTCTTAAAGCACGTGGTATGGGGTTTGTGCAAATTTTTTAAACCCATGAATTCGCTTTCATTTGAAGGTATATTAAGTGGTTAAAATTCATAGATGGACATTTCCCAACAATTCAATTGGAGCTACCAGAGGGGCTATCCCTCCGAAGCTTAAATTCTTCGTTTGGAAGGTTACCAGAGGGGCTATGGCTTCAAAAGAAAACCTGTTTGCGAGGAAATGCGCCACCTCAAAGGCTTGCCAGATCTGTGGATTCTCAACGGAATCAATCCAACCACTGCTTATTTGCCTGCCCCCACGCGGCGGAGGGATGGAACCAAGAGTGGCCCTCCTTGCCTCGACCTGCACCACTCTCTTCTTTCCTGGAATGGCTCGATTCCCTTCGACAGAGCTATCCAATCATATCGATTCAGAAGATCATTTTCCTCGGTTGGCAGACCTGGAAAACTAGGAATGAGAAGATCTTTAGGGATACGAAGCCATGGCCACCATCAACGATCACGAAGGCGGCGTCAGCTCATCTACAATGGACCATGTGCCCAAGGAAAGTTTCCGAAGGTCTCCCACCGCCTCAGCTTATCCCACCCCAGCAACACTCTTCACCACCGCCAGGTACTCATCACTTTGAAGTACACTGCGATGGCTCGTTCTTTGACGAGCCCCAGAAGGCGGCATATGGCGTCGTTGTATCGAATAGCCATGGTCAAGTTTGTGATGGTAGAGCTGAGCCCATGCATTGTTTTTCCCCACTTGAAGCAGAAGCCTTGGCTCTGTTGGAGGGTTCCCGGCTAGCAGTTTCCCTCAGAGCTCCCTGCCTGCTGAAATCAGATTGCTTGCAGCTGGTGAAGGCAGTCCATTGCGACCCAAAGTCTTGGCCGTGGCGAGCGGCAGCAAGGCTGGGCCTCATCAAGCGTATTCTAGAGGAGAACCCGTTCATCAAGCTGCAACACTTTAGTCGAAAGAACAACTTCAAGGCTAATTGGGTTGCTAGATCATGTGCTAGAAATCAGCTACCATCTCAATGGTTACAAATTCTTGATGTTGTAGCTCCCCTGCTGTAATGACTGGCTTGTGCCACAAGTAATGGAAATTCAATGTCCTTTGTCAAAAAAAAAAATCAATTGGAGCTAGTTGGTTTATGACATGATATCAGAGCTTGGTGGTTGTGTCTTCGAATCTCCATGGCTCATCTCTTAACAGTAGATCTAAACACAATGCACGATTAGTCTATGCAAACTTCAAAACCGTGAGTTGACTATCGTTCGAGGGGGCATGTCAAAGTGTCAATTCTGAGCAATTCTAGCAGCTATTCGTTATTACTAATGCAATATTTCAACTTACTATTGTTATTTTGAGATCCGATCATTATGTATGTTGACAGGGGCTAATTGTTAGTGTGTATTGACATGTTTCGATTCTGGATATTTGATCTCAATCATTAAATTCACACAAATAATGTTAGTTTATAAAATCTTTTTCGTACTTGAGGAACTTGATTGAATAATTATCAATAGATGTGGAGTGTCATAGGATGAAGATGCCCTAGTAGTAGGGGGGAGTTAGTGTGGTAAGAAATCCAAATTTCATAAAATAAGATGTGAAGTTTTGGTCATGCACATGTAATCCAACCCCATTGAACAGTCTAGTCGGTTTGGAACTTTTTGAACAAAAACAACATGGGCATAACATAACCCTCCACCAATCCCCTCAAACACTCATGTCCATTTTCCCAAAATTAAAGACAAAACCAATCTACCATTAAACAAAAGGAAAGATTCAAACCCTAACAGCAAATCCTGCAAACAATACTGATAATAACAACAATAGTATAGTAGTGCCCCCCAAAAACAATGAAAAATATCCCCTTCCATTCATCCCACAGATACCATTCCATTCCATTCCAAACAAACAAACAAACAGCTGAATTGAACCCATCTGTGGGCTGCTCTCGGTCTCTTCTTATAGCTCTACAACTTGCTCAATCTGTGGGTCAACATTTCCTACCACATCAAGTAGGTTGTTCCCAATAACTTCCAAAGCAAAAAGAGTATTACTACATGGTGACGGTGAGGACGGGACACTATGCTAACTTTATAGGGTTTAACATCGTACTAATTATGAATTTGTAGAAGTTCGGGTCGGATTGATAGTCCTACATCAGTAAGAAAATGACTAAAATCGGTAAAGCAATGGTTACAACTATGATTGCGTTGGAGATGTAATCCAATTACAAATGCGAAAAGTAACGACCGCCACTGCAAAAACAATGACTATAGCTATGACTGTACCACTACTACGAGTAGATCATTAGAAATGAAACCCGAATTAGCCAATTCCCCAAAACCGAAACAGAAACCGATAAGGCCTTAACGGTTTAAACTGAAAACTAATAAACCAATATTTAATTGCATTGAAGCTTATCGATTTTTCATCGGTTTATTAACGATTTATTGTTTTAACAGAGACCATTGAAGCTTATCATTTTTTACCATTAAGAAAAATGGATAATCCTATTAATTCGATTCATTTTTGCTTAAAAACTGCTACAACGTATGGTTACCCTGGTGCTAATTTTAGCTCATTCATGATGCTAGCAAGCTATGTCCCCCGCCTGGTGGTATCAGAATATGATATCATCCCATTCTGCCACAGCATGGGCGACCAGTGCAAATCAATCGACCATGTCATGTTCCAAATTCCGATGATCCATCTGTTCAATTCTACTGTCAAATACATTGTACCATTTCTCAGCAACAACCCAAAAGAAGGAAAAATTTAAACACATCCATCCAATGCCAGAACTCTGTCTCACTGCACAACTCCAGAATCAAGCAAGTCACAAAGACCAAATAAAATCCGCAGCACATCAACAGAAATAGAAAAGGGTATATACAGAACACTTTTCTGATTTGCTCTCTTTCAAGGATTCTTTTCTACAAATTATTTATCAAACAGTGTATCCATAAAAGGGAGTGAGGAGAAACCAACCCACAAAAAAACAACAAGAAAGCCCTTCCCCTAAAACAAGAAAGAAACGAAAGAAATACAACCAATTCTAACCCTGATCTCCTCGCTTTAGCTTGGCTGATGCCAACAAAGAATATTTACAGTAGTTAAAGTCCATTCCTTCCCCTACTAACTCTTTCCTTCTTTTCTCAGATCTTCCAACTACAACTTTCACGGCAACACTCCTTCAAGGGAAGAAGAAGGAGGGCAAGGGAAGGCAAGGAAGTAAAGCCAAAACCCTCCAACCCCATTAAAAACTCTCACAAAACCCTCAACTCTATCTAACAGTAGTAGTGTACTGTAAGTAGCAGTAGTAGATGTTGCTCATCCCACCATAAAACCCTAACTTTCTTATTCTTCTTACTCTGGTAAACTCTCCTCTTTAACTCTTCAAAACTGGCATGAAGTCCCAAGCCTCTGCCTCTGCCCTATGGTCACTGATTTCCTCTTCTCGAATGCTGGACACAGCAGCTCCTGGACCTTATCCAAGAACACCCCCCACTCTTCATCGGGCATATCAGCAAGCTTCACAAAGCTCGCACTCGAAGGAAGCTGCTCGCTCGCACTCCTATGCCCCGATGAAGAATTCATCAGATACCCATTCTCCGGCTTATCGCCCGAGAACTTAGGGTACTTCTGACTCTTGTCACTCAGCTTGGTATCTTTAAGAGAAGCAGAAAGCATGGAAATGGAAGGGAACTTCATTGGAGCAGAAGGCAGAATCCCACGTTCCTCTTTCCCTTCTCCTTCCTCACCTCCACTCTCCTCTTCTTCCTCCTCGATACTTTCATCCAGCTTCGAGAGCATGCTTCGACCCATCCCATTACCAATTCCAAACTGGTATACCGGTCTTGACATGTACTCGTCAGCTGTCATCTTTGCAGCAAAGTGATGGTCAACTTCCTCACAGTCAATATCGAATTGGAACTCTGGGTCTCCTGCCACATCAGCTCTAGGAGATACTACCTCTCTCTCGACTATCGCTCTCCTTGCCTCCATGCACACAACCTCGAGCTCACTCGGTTCCTCCTCCCCTGCTCGAAACTCCCTGCTCATCATCTCACCAATCTCAGCAAGGCAAAGACCAAAGTTGACAGCTTCCTTGAGGAAAATGGTGCAGAGATGCAAAACCCTCAAACATGCCACTCGGATCATGGGAAGCTCTCTCTTCAACATCAAGCAATCTTCAACCGGATCAAGCTTTGCAATGTACTCAATCTCATCCTCCGAGAAAGGAATCGAGGACTGTGGCCAATGAATCCACTCGAAATATGGATCCTCCAGAGTCTCAGGCAAGCAAAGACCATGATCAATTGGAATCAACTCCACTTGCCCAAATCTACCAACACCATCATCAAACTTCTTCACCAAGAGATTCCCACCATGCCTATCAGTGTTTAAAATCCTAATGTCTAATATACCAATACGGTGTACTGCTGAAACCGGGAAGCTGGAGCTTCCATGATCACTTGCATCAAAATCGTGTTGAATGAACTGTTGGAAAGAAGCAATCTTGCTGATGACTGGTTTCTTGCTGTTGTGAGCGATCTTCACCAGAGCAGTAGGTGGCACACAGGCGAAGTGGTCGTGGTCAAGAAGGTAAGCTGCAACTTCCCTGATCCCCGTCTCTCCAACCCTAACCGAACGTTTTAAACCTGGTTGCCCTAAAGCCTTTCCAACAAAGCCTTTGGGGTTGTTGGGAGCAAAAGGCTCCTCGTCAGTTGGCTTCACAATGGCAACACTCTCGCCTCTGGTGTTCCGGAAGTAGTATGCACCTCCCAGGCCACCATGAACAGGAAGGGGATCAATCCCATTCTTTATCGCCTTCACACTGTCTTTAACCAGATGTTTCATCTTGGAAAAGCTTTCTGAATGTCCTAATACCTCGATGAGAGCACTCTTATCCTTCTGCTGAATGTCCTTCCCAGTTGGAGAGAGGCACGGAGTCGATGAGCTTCGGTGCAGATGGTTCCGAGTCAAGAGGAGAGGCGAATCATTTCGAACAGCGCTGAGGTCATTTTTCAGCACCATATCACCAAAAGTCAGCGAGCTCTCCTCGGTTGAAACATTGAGGGCAATTGAAAGCCTTCTCTTCACAGTATGGGCATTGTCACTTCGATCCAACTCCATCCCCAGAACACAACCGGTCTCGGTTTGCACAAAGACTCGCCTCCTCCCAGAAGGCTGAGAGTGTTTCCCATCCATCATCCTGTTAGTGGTAGTGGTGGCGTTGTGGGCATGATACTCCCTGCTGAGAGGACTCTTAAAGACTGCTGCCACTGCCATCTGTGTCTGAACTGGGCTGCTGTCCAACTTACGAGACATCAACAAACAGAAGAAGCGAAGGCAGCAATAAAGGAAAGAGAGCTACTTTTCTCCCCTCCAATGGATGCGCCAAGCCCTTCAAAGCCGATCGAGGTTGGACTTGCAGAAAACTCTCAATCATCAATCGATCCGGTGACCCAGAAAGTTGGAGACAGTGATGATCAAGACCAGCAAGCCATTTTCGCTGAATCAACAGATCAACCAGAACCAAGGATCTGAAACAACAAATGAGAAATGGTAAGGGATTTTACTCGAACACTTCACTAAAGTGTAATTAAGGATCAAAGGAAACACCAACGGGAGAGTTTGATAGAAGCACAAGTTACAGCGGAAAATCAATAGATCCCACTTGGCCAAATGATTCTAATGTGATGCTGTACCGTACCCTACTGCACATTCCTTTCTTCCAAACACAGCAAGAAAAAAGAAGGAAGGATCCTTCCCCCCGCCCACTTGTTTACAAGAAGATGAAATAAATTTGTCCGAGGCTGGATTTATCTTGAAGCAGATATTAATGCATCATTAGCCACTGAATTAAAAGAAAGGATTATAAAACATTCCGCTCGGTAAAACCCCCATCTAATAATCCATAACGTTCCCAGCTGAGCGTCAATGAATCCCACCCTCCAAATTAATTAGACTTTTAATGTTTATCCTAAGTGAATGAATTGGGGGAGAAGAAAAGAAAGCAAGAACCCAATCCTCACTAAATCTGAGCTCACCCGCGAAAGAATAATGAACGAACCCCAACCATTACAATAAAAACAGAGAGAACGGGAAAGAATTCAAGAATCTGATAACCCAGAGAAGGAAAATGACAGGTGAAAGGAAGAGAACAAGCATTACAAATTAGAAAGGGAAGGAAAACCAGCACTCACCAGATTTCTAGATCCGGCACAACCCACACGGAGATGAAAGAATCAGAGCTACCCACTGCTGTGCTTTCACCAGGAGAACGAGTCGCCCAGAGAGTCACTCGGAAAGAGAGCAATGGAATCGGCCGAGTCGGAGAGGAGTTCAACCCAGTTGAAGCAAAAAAGAGAAAACCCAGAACCCAGAAAAGAAGAAGGACGAGCAACAACACACCAGAACCCGGGAAAAAAGAGAAAGGCTGTTGCTTTTTTTTTTAATTCAATTTCAATTCGGTGGTTCTTCTTCTTCTTCCTCTCTCTCCCTCTATCAAAGCTATGAGCATTCGTTTGCTCCTTTTGGCCTGCTTTCTCAGAACGTTCTTCTTCTTCTTCTTGCTTTCTCTTCTCTCTTTATTTTAACTCGGTGTGTGGGTTTGTGGAGGTGAGGAGGGTCGGTGTCACAAACTAACCATGGTTAAAAACAAACAAACTCCTTAACTCGAGCTCTCTCCCTTTCTCAAAAGCTTTTACTATTTGTTGTTAGCTTTCTTTAAATCGGGCTTTATTTGGAAGGAGACTATTAATGATTTTTTGCTTGGAAAAAAATAAAAATTAAGCTTTGACACTTTGGTAAATGACACATTTAGACTAGAATTTCTCTCTAAATTCTTAAATTTCATATTTTTTACTTTTCAAATTGGCTAAAATTTTCCTAACCAGTTTACGTTGTTTCATGTTTTGATTGGTTGCAGTGTAGCGTTAGTTATATACTATGTTCAATACTTAAGTTATCATGTAGTACTAGTATGATAGTCTAGAATTTGGTAATCATTATTTATTCCAACTATAATTCCTTGAGGTATCTTAAGAATTTAACTAAGGTTGATATGCACACTCTTGTGTTTTTTCCCGGTAATTAATATGCAAACTCTTGTTGATTAAGATATTTTGGAAGATTGTTAATTTACGATTTCTCTAACAAACATTTTAGTACTCTAATTTTTATGGTGAATTCGACTGAAAAAATGAGTAATGACTATTGACTAATATGAAAATTTTAGAATTTCCGATCTAAAATGAATAGCAAAAAGATTGGTCGCTATGGTTACTTTTGCTTTGAGAATCTCATAGAGGAATATGTTAAACATTTTCTAAACAAAAAATTTACTAAATTAATTTGACTTTCGCTTATATTCGACAAGCAAAAAATATAGAGAAAAAAATTAAAACAGAAAAACTAAACCAAGGGGAAATTGGAAGAGTTTAGAGGAGATATTTGGACCGTCAGATGCAGAGGCGGTCCGGCAACATGGATCGTCGAATGAGAGGGGCGAGAAATCCGCAAGCAGTCCTCATGGAGGTAAAGAATAGGAAAATAACATGGCGAGGACCACCGTCTTAACAGGTAGAGTCGACCAATGAAAATTTAACTAAAAGTTCTTTATATTTTCCTTCCCCCAGTTTTCTCTCTTTTCCTTTTTCACTATGCATCTGCTTCCGATTTTACTGTTCCTTGATTTACTTTGTCGCTGCTGATATTTTAGAGATTTTCCTTTTCTTTTTCTTTTTCTTTTTCCTTTTTATCTTTTACTCTTTGGTCTTTGTAGTTCCCATCTTGTCCTCTGTGTTAATTTTGGAGTACTTTTTTAAGAACATATCCTAAGATTTTTACTACATCTTGCTAAGTTTGGGTTCCAAGTTTCAAGTGCTAAATCAAATCAAATCATTCGAAAACAAAATATGTGGCATAGGTCAAAATGTTCATAGGTTAAAGGGCTAGATTTGTTGGCAGTGGGTTATTGTTGACTAGATAAATATATACATTATAATTTTTCAAGTTTTGTGACTATAACTATTGAAAATGAATTTCCTACTTTAATGATCCATTTCAAGAAGATCTTTCTTGATCCATATGTTCAAATTTTTTTATTCTTCAAAAAATCAAATGGTCAACTCACAGAAAATGTATAATGAAGATCATTAAAGCTATTCATAAGATCTATTCCGATTTCCTCTGGTTAGGAGATGGGTCAGGTAGAGCAAAAGTGGCATGGAATTTGGAGCATTCCAAAAACTAGGCGATCAAACTACAAAAAGACAAGTAGTTTGATACAAGATTTCTCTATTATTTTTCGCTTCTATTTTCTTTTTTCAATTTAACTTTGAAATAAGTTACAGAGACATTTCGAAACAACAACATTTTGTATTCTCAAATGATATCAGAGGGATACCTTGCCTTCCCAGAAAAAAGGAGGTGAGCTGGGATTGAAAGACTTGATATTCTGGAATGTGGCATGCGTTGCAAGATAAATTTGGCTTCTACTCATGCGTGGGGAAAGTTTCTGGGTGGCCCGGATCTATCGTTATAGCCTGAGGGGGGGGCTTTATTTGGGATGTCAAGGCTATTGCAGCTGGGTCATGGATCTGGAGACAAATGTTGAAGATCAGACCTTGCTTGAGGTATATGTTGGACGTGGATAGGGAAGGGATCGTTACATGGAAAGGAAGTACACTGATACGTTTTTCTATTTCTATTGTATGGGATGCTATCAAGCTTAAGAAGCCTACAATTAGTTGGTGGAAGATCCTTTGAGGCAAATTTACTCTCCTTACTCTCCCTCGATGTTGATTTTTGACTTGGCTAGTCATAATGAACAGAATCTCCACTAGAGACAAGTTGAAGGCTTGGGGTATACTCACTGATGATCATTGTGTTCTATGCTCGGGGGCGATTGAATCAATGCAACATTTAATATGTGAATGTGCATTCACCATTGCTTTTATCTTTGCGACTTAAAGCAGCAGTCTGGTTACCTGGCTCATGGATATCATGCTTGGTCTTATGAGTTGCAATGCCCAGCGTGGTGACAGCAGGGGATTAGTGAAGAGCTCTATCTGGTGTTGGTGTATCTCCTTCATTTGAAAAGAGAGATGCAAGTGCGTCTTAGGTGAAGGCCTTCGTCAGTTGGAATTTTTAGCTTCTAATATGAGGGATGAAGTGTTTTATTTAGTTGTGGCAATGCTTGAGTTTTATAATATAGTGGTAATGTTAGTAGTGATAATGTAGTTTTATTGTTATCAGTGTAGTGCTATTGATATCAGTATAAAGGTAATGTAGTGTTATTAATCTCAGTATAGTGGTATTGTTATCAGTATAGTGATAATGTAATGGTAATTATTATAGGTGTAGTTGAACTGATATTGTGGGTGTATTGATATTGTTTTATGATATAGTTGTAATTTTATCAATCTACTAGCAATCTTTTAGAATAGTGGTACATTTTTCAATGCAGCGGTACTTTTTGTTATGTGGCCGAAGGGAGTCTGGCCGGAGGAATATGGTGGGAAAAATTCTGATGGTGGATTGCAAAGAAGCTAGTGAAAAAGTAAAAGGGAGAGATATGGATAGAGAAATATAATTAATGTAATGTTTAAAATTTTAAAAAATTAATGCAATGAAATTGAATTTTTAATTCACAAAATTGAATTAATACAAAACAATCAGTACCCAAATTATTCTTGCTATAGAGTATAGAGAGGTTGTCATTGTATGTAATTATCATGATATATACAAAATAAATTGGTATTTGTCTATTCTAAATGTTGGATAAGTCTCTCCTTAACAAAAGACTATGAGTTGAACGTAATGTAAGTGTTAAAAACTCAATGTAGGAGTGTTAAATTGTAATATATTAAGTAGCATCTAATTAAAATTTTAAAAAATATCACTCTTATAAACAAAACAAAAAAAAGTCGATGAAGGAGTGGTCAAATGGGAAAGTAACTAGTTTTTGAATCGAAAATTTCAAATGTTCAAATATATCTAGACTACTTGTATTGATGTTCCATCCTCTGTGGTAGACTAGTTGTCATCTTAAAACTACCCTATAATTTACCATGGGGTTTTCTGATTCGGGCCTAATTGTACACTTTTTATCCTTGTTTCTCTTTAACGTTTGTTTCAATTGAGCTCCAAAAGGGGTGGTTTTACGCTAGGTTTCTTGTGTTTCAGTGTATTTCACATCCTAACAGGTGAAACCAACCCCGAAGTCGAAATTTGGAAGAAAAGGGGCAAAGACTGGGCAAAGAAGAGGAGACAACATGTGTTCACGGTTAGCCATTGGATTTCACGGTCTCCTTGACCGTGAA